ATATATTCAACGCATTTGTAATGTGTTTGTAATTTAATTGGTTTCGGGGCGGGCAGCTCAAATTGATGAAGATAAATGATTAACAGCATCCATAAACAAATTCGATTGCGAAAAGCTGGCCTGTCTTCGTGCATTTGTTTGCTAACTGCAACTGTAGCAGTGGGCGTGACTTGGGCAGATATTATATCAGCTGCAAAGATTTTGATCAATCTGTGTGTTAAGTGAAGCGGTACAACATGAAATTCACTGAGAGAAAGGGGAGAGAGTGTGAAATGTACAGACATTCGAGACATTTAAGATAGGAATCTGCCAGGTACAAAGATCTTAAAATCATATAGCAAGATCAGAGATCCAGATCTGAGTCTGAGTCTGAGTCAAAACAAATTAAATACTTCAGATCAAGAGCCATGACTAAAAGCTAAGGCTAAGACTTAATGAAAAACAGAGTTAAGAGCTGAGCTCGAAAAGTGAGTCTATGGCTACAAAATCTAGTCTCTAATCCATGGATATTGTAAGCCTGGCTAACGAAGCGCATCTTAACAAGCGTGGCTTGAGCCCAGCTTAAGTTGCAGTCTCAAGATCTGCTTTTTAGACTTGCAAATCAGTTAATAAATGAACGAAGCCATGAATAATTGATTCGCTGTGCATTCTCTTGCCGTCAATCTCTGTTGGCTGTGGACTATTTATAGGTAGAGCTACTTAAACTCTGTGCCTGACCTTGACAGCAACCTTCCAGCGCCAAGCGGCGAGTCAGTGGCCGCCGCCCCCCTTTCGGCCACACCACTGTCTGCTAGCCATGTTTGACAAATTAAAGTGAGTTGCGAGCGAGCCACAAAAACTCGATTGCATCTTCAATACACTTGACAATCGCTTAACAAAATCTGCTTAACCTTACGATGCGCGGCTCTTGCTGCTGCTGCTGCTCCTCCTTTGACTTTGGCTGCATCTGCAGCGACGACTACGACTATTCGCCGCTTGCCACTTGCCGCTGATAAATGCAGCAATTATTTAAAGCGCACAAATCAACTTCAACTTGGATGGGTCTATGCGGCTGACCGGTGTGGCAGGCGTCGTGCCGTTTTCGAAAAGCCAACCAAAGTATATTACATTAATTTCGAGATGTACGCGCAAAAAACTCCGCAGTTGTCGCAATACCATTGAGAGATAGAGAGAGAGAGAGAGAGGGAGAGCGGGGCAGATAGTGAGAGAAAAATGAAAATGTCTTTAAGAAACCAGTCGCCAAACGGACAAAAGTGGATTGCCTTCACAATGCCTGCGGACCTGACTTCCACTCGCCAATCGAATTCTTCCTGACTGCAGGCAACGTGAGATATGTAAATGCTGAAGTTGAACTGTCGCATAAACTGAGCCACAGACAAAGACGCAGCTCGGTCTCTGCTGGCCTCCTCCTGCCCACCCTCTTGCTCGGCTGTCGAGTTGTCAAACCAAAAACTAGACACTAGATTCAAGATGCGAAACTGAAAAACTTGAGTCGTCAACAGACTCAAAAGATTCGCTTAAATGAGTTTCTTTTCGTCTCTTTATTTTGTTTGGTAGCCAAGGCAGTTGTCTGAGTCTCTGATAAGTGCGCGTACTCGTCCATATAGATGCGTACCGGTTTCTGCGTCAGACCCTCTGACATTCTCACCTTATTCGCATGAAACACTTTGTTTTGGTAGATACCCTGTAATTGTGGGCAATGACTGGGGTATATAGAAGGGGAGGCAGATGGATGAGAGTTTTCTGTGTTGTTATAGCGAAAATTCTAATAACTAAATCCACATCAAATCATACACAAATATTTGCCAGCTCTGCTCTATAAAATCTGATTTACACGATATCTAAAAGTCTACTTTTCCCAAATTTACTACTTGTTTTCTGTTCAACCTATGGCATATGCCTTATGTGTATGGCCATATAATAATTTCAATTTCTTGGCTATATGACATTTGCATCACATAGTAAATTATCTAGCTGCATGTTAATTAGCAAATTTGTTACTTCCCCACAAAGCGTAATAGACATTAAACGCTTTTTTGAGTAATTCGTACTTATATAAGGCAAATGGCGTTAATTTCTTGGCCACTTGGCAGTAACCCATTAAAATGTGGGTGACCAGCGAACAGACCAGACCAGACCAGGCCAGGCCAGGCCAGGCATGTCGTGCCAAGCCAACAAAACCAGTTGAAAACATGATATGAAAACATTTAAGTAGATGCCGTCATAGATAGACATCGCTGTATGGGCCTGCTAGGGTCTACTCGGATTAGGGAGTGGGGGTGGACAGTCTGACACGCATTTCTACTCGCTAATTGCTTAAATTGTGTCAGCTGCGGCTGCTCAATGACCAAAAGTTGACAATTGACTTTTAATTAGGTAGGCCCGAGGCTTGAACATGTTTTTATTGTTTGTATAACCGGGTTTGTTTTATGGTGTATTTGTTTCCGTAATTCTTTGAAAGTGTTTCTCTGATTTGGTGGAAAGCCACGAGATTCTTATTGGAAAAATATCGAAATTGGAATTTAGCTGTAATTATGGTCATAGATTTAAGCTACATGACAAAATATTAAAACTACAAATCTACATTCCAGACACATTTATGTATATTTCTTCTCGAACAGCAACTCTAGCTGGAAATATGCTACTAGAATAAAAGAACCAAGAAGTAATTTTATTTCTACATATGAAATCACAACAGCCGACGAAACCCACTTCAAATTCACATTCCAAACACATTCACACATCACCGGTATCTTCTCTTTGTTTCTGCTTATTCCCGAACTTTCTGAGGCTGTCTTCCACGAAGCAACAAATTGCCTAAATAAATGCCATCAACCAGTCACATCTAAACACTATCAATCTTCTTCAAAAATTACTTTACTCAAGCATCTTTTTGCGTATGCTAATCTTATATTAATATTTTTACCTTATTGTTATCTATTCGTTCACATTCTGTTGAGTAAAATATAAATAAACAAAAAGAAGAGAAGCCAACACACACGCAGCCGACTTTGACAGTTGGAAACTGGAAGCACTGCGCTTCCAGTAGTTAGGCAAATCTTAAAGCCATATGATCAACAGCTGATCTGCAAGCAAAGCTTTGCAAAGCAAACAGGTAACTATAGCAAAGTGCGTGAGAAAGAGATGACTATAGTAAATGATGAGCAGCAAGCGTGAGTTACATAGCAACGAGCTTGAGAGTAGCAGAAGCACAGAAGCAAAGCTTGTTCGCAGTGTCTAAAACTATGCAACAGAAAACAACAACAAATTTGTATAATTTTATTTTTATATTTATTTGCAGGTATATCAATTTTAGATGAATTGGGAATATACATATATATATACAATTTTTTACATTGGGCAACATGCCAACTGGTGAGGGTATTTTAAGATGGTTTACAAATTAGCGCCAATTTGCAGCACTTTTTTAATTCGACAACAATTACAAAGCTTTTGGTTCCTTGTTCTTTATTTGATTCAGTAATTTCTAATTTGTATGTTGCTTTTCATTCAATGGCCTCGATTATTTCATATTCTTCATCCAAAGAATGATCATAATCGATATTATATTTGTTTTTAATTTTGCTTTTATAATCTTTGAGCTCATCGTCGTTTTCAAATTTATTCAAATTGTAGCGCATACTGCCGCGTTGCTTGCTTTTGTAGCTGTTGTTGTTGTTGTTGCCGCTGCTGCTGCTGCTGTTGCTGCTGTTGCTGTGATTGCTGTGCTGTGCTGTGTTATTTCTAGAGGATGTGTTTGCTATGCTAAATTGATTTCCTTTATTTCTACTGCTATTCCTATTGCCCTGCTTACGGCTACTGCCACTACTATTTTGTCTACTTTGATATTCGCTATATTTACTAGAGTTAAATTGTTGCTGTTGCTGTTGCTGTGATGATGAGTATGACGATTGAGATTGATTGGTTTTGTATCTCATGCTGCCTCTAAAACTATTTTTGGTCATTTTACTGTAGTTGGTTGGTGAGGTGCTATCTACGATTCTGTTGTTGTTGCTATTGCTGTTGTGTTTGCTTTTGTCTATGTTGCTGTTGCTGCTGCTGCTGCTGCTGCTGCTTTTGTTTTGTGCCAGAAACTGTCGCTGTCTGCTGCCTCGCTGCCGATCCACTGCCTCCGCCGTTGTTGTGTGTGTTTTCCCAATCTTATACTCATCATCAGCCTTATATCATACCTCAGCCTGCTCCTGCTGCTGCTGCTGCTGTTGGCTGCGCTCCGGTATGCGATAGAGTTCATCGTTATTCTGATAGAGCTGCTCGGAGCTGGCGCAGTTGACGTTCGACCACCAATCGCAGACGCGCACAGCCTGATTGAAGACGGTGCCGTTGGGGCAGAGGAACGAGTATTGATGGCCAGAGTGCAGGCACCAGTGCCAGACCTTGAAGAGAGCATTGTGTGAGAGAAGATTGTTTGAGTAATATTTGTTGAGTGAATCAGCCAAGTCGTTGCTCTGGTTAGCTCACCTGACACCTCGTCTCGGTATCCGCATAGTAGCCCGGCTGACGTCCTTGGCAGTTGAATGACAAACCCTTGGGCACCGCATCATAGATGGGATAATCCTCGCCAGCTATGTAGCCATCAATTTGCTGCAATCGTAAACCATAAATGAGATGCGACTTTCAAGTACAGCTCGTGCATGGGTATGTGAATTATCTCATCGAGTGCAACTGCAGCGGGTGACCTTCGTTTGGCTGTTGCTTGCTTAAGCAGGGCACATTTAAAATCACGGCAAAACAAACAGCAAAATGATGTCTAAACAATAACAAATTACGAGCCTGAAACAATTGCCACACACACTCAATTTTAGTACATGCGAAAAATAAAAAAAAGCTACAGAAACAGAAACCGAAAATTTAAAATGCAAATGCATCAACCGAAAAATCTGTCGAAAAACCAGCAAAAAATATGAACAAAAAAACTGAATAAAGATCAACAAAAGAATCAGTGAGTGTTGAAAAATGTGCAATTGTGGGTGGTTATCTATGTATGTGTGCGTGTATGAGTATGTGTGTGACAATAAAAACAACAGAGAACTGTCAATCTCATGCGTATGAAACCATGAAAAGCTGACACAGCACCAAAGCGCGACCAAGTGGCAACACCACAAGTACCATACACACAAACACACACACACGTACCAACAGACGATGACATTCCCATGACTGACATTCGACAGCAGCGCTCTACAGCTGTGTTGTTCTTTTGTTCGATGCGCCACTCCATTTTCGTATTCCTGTGCAACATGTTGCATGTCACTGGCCTATCTTTCGGCTATCTTGATCTTGCCTCAATTCCAATCTAAATACATATTTTCCACACCAATTTCGTATTGTTGCCGCTGCTGCTGCAGCTGCGATGCGCTTAAATAAATTCATTTGCAAGGCGTGTGACGAAAAATCTTTGGATGGACTCTTTTTTTTTTTTTTTTTTTTGCAGGCGTCCATGTCAAAATGCATATTTTATTGTTATAGTTCAATTTGAGGTTAATGTTTATTTTATGCTGATGAGCAGTGTTGCAAAATGTGAAACTGACATAATAAATTAAATTGTAGAGGGAATTTAAACGATTTTAGTAATGATTTAAATTTTTTATTTAAGTTTAAAATGCTTTAAAGTTTTTAAAGTGCTTTAATCAAATACTAAATAAAAGACCACAAAAAATACGACAGGAGTGTTTTAGTCCTTTTCCTTTACGAAATTGGTATTTTAGTGCATTTTGTGTAATTAAGTGGCAACTGTGCTTAGGGTGACCATTTTATTGATCCCCAGCTGTTCATTAGCTTGTCAATTCCTGTTCGATAACCATGCAGCGGCTATTTGCTAACTATTCGATAACAATTCTCAGCTCTTACCAAACAGTTTAACAGCTTTTTTATTGCCTGTGCAATTTCCTGCTGCACGCTAATAACTTTCATGAGGGTTTAACATTTGCAACTGCAACAACAATAGACGCCCAGTGCCACAGTAACCCAGCTGCCTAGCTCTTAGCTCTTGGCTCTTGGCTCTTGGCTCTTTGGCTGTTTAAATACCAGACGACGAAGACTCCAAACCAACAACAACAGCAACGGCACAGCGCGCAATTTGCCTTTCTTTGCTCTAGTTGTTGTTGTTGTTTAGAGCAGTTCACCAAGGCTAATTGATAAAAGACTTAAGTAAAGAGGCTCCAGCAGCACTAACAGACGAAGAAAAAGCCAAACGATGACGACACCTTGAGCCAGCCAAGTCTGCATGCAATGGGAAATGCGGCCTGGCCAATGGAGGAGCCATCGGGTTCGTATAAGCTGGTGTGGCGTTTGCGGACGTGAGAAGATGTCTAACACTTTGCAGACAGCTCGACGGCGACGGCGACGACGACGACGACGACGACGACGACGGCGTTGTCGCTGCACTTGCAAAATCGAGAGACTTTTTGGTCCACTTTTATTTTTGTCTTGGCAACAATTGCATTGTTGTTGCTGGTTGTTGTTGTTGCTGTTGCCACTGAGGCGACTGCGACTGCAACTTTGCGTGGGAGTTTGTTGTAGTTGCTGACGATGTTAGCTGTGTGTAGATCGCAATCAGACAAGAGACAAATGGTGTGCGCAATCTTTTACTTTGAATGAGTATAGAAATTATCTCAGATGACACTTTTTTAGCAGCTGCTGCCGTGGATGCTACTGCTACTGTTGCTACTACTGCTGCTGCAGCTCATGATATATCCATTCTAACGCTAATGAAGCTATCAAATTGTTTTCAATTTTTTTTTTTAATGCGATTTTATTCCCAGGCCTATACAGTTTTATGATCGTCAAATATTTCAACGATAAATGAAAAAAGATAATTGACAAAGAGCAATAAATAGACAAATCGAAAACGAGTGAGAGAGATGAAGAGAGAGAGGGGAAGGGTGAGAGGGGCGGACATGCAGTTGAGAGTTGAGTTGACACTTAAGTTGGGTTTCATGGTGCGCCCTCAGCCGAACTTACCCCATTGACACAGTTTCCTGCCAGCAGCACAGCGAACACGACAACCAAAACGATGGACATGCAGGAGGCAATGAAGTTGCTCGAGCAGAAGGAGGAGGCGGTGCTGCTGCTGYTGCTGCTGGCTGCCAGATGAAGATGCTGCTGCTGTTGTCTGCTAGATTGTTGCTGTTGTTGTTGTTGTGGTGATTTGTTCGCGGTTGTTGCGGCTGCCATGATGTCTGTGATTTTGGGCTTTACGGCTACGCGGCGTATACGTAATTTAAATGTGATTTTGTGTGTGTGTGTGTGTGTGTCTGTCTGTGTGTGCTGTTTCGCTGTTCGTTGTTGCTGTTGTTGTTGCTATCTAAAATACAAAATCGAAAAGAGAAAAATAAAGACGAGCTAAGCTAAGTGCTATTAGATGTTATATACACAACATCCAATTTGTGTGTATGTGTGTGTGTGTGTWTTTTTTTAGAAAGGAAGCTGCAATTGGAAAATTGCATTGGGCCCAAGACAAGCTGAGATGCCTTCTCAAGTGTTTCTTCTCGGCTTTGGCATGTAATTAGATTTCATTTTTATATTTTTATTATTTTCTGATGCATGCGACTCTGGGCTCTGTTTGGAATTTTATGCTCTGCCGCAAATGGTAATGGGCATTTGTGGTTACGTTAGCTGCGGCGGTTTCTATAATGCTTGCGGTTGCCTTGCCAGGARTAGATGATGCTGCTGCTGCTATTGCTGTTGTTGCAACAACATTCACTTCTTGCCACTTGGCTTTTGAATATGGCTTGTATTGCTTTTTGATTGCGTTTAATGGTTGATTAACTCAACGTTGTAGGTGATAATTACGTTTGATTGAACTTAATTGTGAGACATGTGGGACAGTTAGCTAATGCATGGACTTGCTCTAAGTATTACTACTAGAGTAGATGTAATAATATAATATTTTCAATATTGTCTATAATTCTTTTTTTTTTTTTTTTTTTTTTTTTTTTGTGCAGTACAGTTTGATCCTGGACCCTTTTATTTATGCCAAACTCTCTAGCAAATCCTGCTCTCATAAATGTGAAGAAGTAAACATACACTAACAGAATCTTAAGTCAGGAGCTTTGACTTGAAGCTCTAGCAGAGCCGCCTCTCAAATATATAATATATATAGCTCTTTACAGAGATTCTAACTATGAGCCAACATATTATAATTAGCACAACCATTTGGGGTCCACTTAAGGTCCACTTTGGTTGCTCTAATAAATATGCATGTTTATATTAATATTATGCATTGATTATATTAAAATTCATCAAGTACACAAATTCTTTATCAAATACTTTCTTTATTTTTTATTCTTATAAACACTGAATGAAAAGTTCAGTTTCCTTTTAATTTCCAGGCAATGCCCATTAAAATCTTGTAAAATTAAGCAATTGCCAGGCCACATTGCATTATTATTAAATTATTTCCAAGCCATTATATAGTTTAGTTTTTTCTTTATAAGCTTTACGTAATTAATCTCTCAGCTTAAGAGGCACGCACTTAACCGCACACTTGAACAACGCTTGATATGTTTGTTGATATTTACTGAGTTTTTCTTGACTTTGTCTGTTTTATTTTGCTTGTGCTGTTTGGTTCGTACGTTTTTGGGTCGCGAGAGCTGCGAGCTGCACGTGTTGCCGCGTTTGGAGTTGATGCAAAAGTTAGAAAAAATTTCGCATCAATTTTAGTTTTATACTCAAGAGCAGGTCGAGCGCGGCGGCGTCGTTTGCTACTCGGCTGGGGGCCAATAGATGAGCGCCGCAATACAAGCCAAATGCACAGAGTCATCGTCAATGCTGTGGCTGCTGCTGCTGCTGCTGCCGCAATTGCCAAAGAGCAAACTCATCGTCATCGTCGTCGTCGTCGTCGTCGTCGTCGTCATCATTCGGCGAGCAGCAGCCGAAACTGAAGCTAAATCATCGTGCAATTGGCGCTCATTCGGCTCTCGTGCTTCTCGCTGCTTCGCATTCATCGCCAAATATTTGGAGCTCTGTGGCAGATGCCGCAGCCTCGCAGCCTCGCAGCATCGCAGCATCGCAGCGGCGTTACAGCATTGTTGGGCTGCCTTGTTTTGTTTGCGGCTTTTGTTTGTTTATGATTTTGGCACATTTTGTGTTGTTACTATAAAAATGAAAGAAACAAATATCACAAAATTAGTGCAAATTTTCATTTGGTTTGTGAGCTATTGATGAAAGCCAAACAAAAGACTTAGGCAACGAGCTTGTAAGACTGTCACAGCGATTACTTGCGGCGAAATGATTGCAATTAATACCGTTCAACTGTGATCAAAACGAAAGACTTGGGCAACGAACTTGACACTTGATTGGTATTAAATAAGAGCTGAAATATAAATATTTGTAATGAAATTAAATTGACGACTTGGGATACATATCGTATCATAGAAATGGAATGTGTGTATAATATATATAT